TTAACCTTGAATCTAGTGAGAGGCAAATATTAATTTGAGAAACAACAAACACACATAGATGTCCAATTAAAATGTGATCAGTGTTATAAGGAGATACATGGGAAGAACAGGGAAGAATTCAATGAGGAAAAGACACTAGAATTAAAATTTGGAGAATGCATTAGAATTAACTAAGTGAAGAGAGTTCGAGGGAAGGAGACCAGAAAAATGTTTCAGTTAAAGGAAGGAATGCATATAAAGGCCTTGTGATACAGTGCATGGGCAGTCCATGAAATACAGAGGAAGAGGGAGAAGACTAGGATCAATCTGGAAAACAAAGAGGAGGTACAGTCTCTACAAGGCTGTATTGTTTATATCAGTCTTTTAAAAAAACCCATACAGTAATTATAATCCATTTAAGTGTTGCAGCAGGAGAATTGCATACTGAGGTCTTCTTCTTAAAAGAATCTCTTAAACTATGAATTTGAGATAGCAGAAAATATACAAGAACTCATGATGGGGAAAAATTAAGCTAACGTAGCATTTTAGGCCAGCAGGGGAAAAAACAAACAAACAGTGGGCTAATGTATTAAATCCATAGATACATGGAGAGAATTGAGCAATACCTAGTAAGTAAAATTGATATAACTTATTAGGGATTGAATTTGGAGAGTAACAGCATAGAAAAAATTATAAAAACAATTTAGAGTTCCCAATTATATATATGCTTGTTTTGTTATCAATTTTATAGCTGTAATTAGAACAGAGGCCAGAAGATTGCATGGTGACTTTCAGAAAATGCAAATATTTTTTGTTCTGAGGATTTTACTTTCTTCCAGTTTCCAAAGGTTATTGATGAATTGAGGTTTGCTCCTATCAGAAACACAATAATTAACTTATTATGGATAATGGCCTCTACTGTATTAGACTTGTGTTTTGTTTTATGGGTTGTTTTGAAATGTTCCTTATGGTTAAAGATCTGAACTCTGGAGAATGAGGGAGTTAAAGCAGACCTCTTGAGTAAGATCAGTTATGTGAGACATTCCCACAGTCATCCTCTAAAAGGAAGGTCAGAGTCAACCCCAGCTAATGAGGGCAAGAAACATGAAAGTAGTTTAGGGTGGGATAAGTAAAAATGGAGAGGATATTTATTTCCAATGAGAAAGCAAAAACTATAAACTAAAAAGTTATTAATAAAATATTCTAAACAATATAAACCAAAACATATTGGGTCAATAGTTATGCAAGTGGAGACTGTGATGGCTTATAATATAAAAATTTATAATGCATCAACAGTACAGTTGTGTCAATTACTAAGTAACTACATCCAGAAATGCTTGCTTTCTCCCTATATCAGCTGTCTGTTTTTAAACAAATAGTTGAATGAACTCCTGTTTGATTCAATTATTTGTAACTGAGATGAGTGTAATTGTTCAGTCTGAACTACCCTAATCAGTTGTTAACCATTCTTTATCCATTATAACAGGGGAAGACATAGTACAAAAAACATGTCACTTATCAGTAAACTTTGAGTTTTAATGGATATGCCTTATTCTTACTGATCTATCTTAATAAGAACACAAGTAGTATTTTTAAAAGTGAATTCAGAAATAGATCTTCAAGTTTCACTTCTGAGTGTGTTTGTGACTGTGCCATACTTCTTTTAAAGCCTTAACAGAAGTATCAAACAAGTAATAAAGCTGATAGGAGGCACATGAAATTCAAATGCCTTTTGTCTTCTCTGAAGGGAGAGTTATAAATAAGTGAAAATAAAAAAAGAAAGGATACATGGACACAGATCTGTAGTAGTCAAAATAGCATTGTCAAAACAGATATATAGATCAATGGGACAGAACTGAGATCCCAGAAATAAACACATGTACATACATTTGACTCATTCTTAATAAAACCACTAGTAACAAACATTGAAGAAAGTTCAACCTTTTCAATAAACAGTGAGGAGAAGACTAGATATCCACATGTAGAAGAGAAACTATAACCCTATTTCTTGCCATATACAAAAATCAATTCAAAATGCATGAAAATGTAAGACTGGAAACCATGAAACTACTGGAAGAAAACATCAGAGAAACACTTAAGACATCAATAGAAACAATAAGCTTTTGGATAAGACTCCAAAAGCAAAAATAGATAAACAGAGTTACAACCACCTGAAAACCTTCTGTACAACAAAGAAAACAAGTAAACTGGGAAATTTCTCACAGTGAGTTCCCTAAGTCAGTACCTTTCCTTCATCCAATCCTATTTGAGTTCACACTATGGTATTTGCAGATAACAAATCAGAGATTAAATAATAGATACAATTTAATAAAACAGAAATGACGTATACCTAACATGAATATGAGAATAGTGTTTCAATACATATAACATATGCAATGCAATAAATATATGCAACACAAAAATACCTTTGTACTAATAAGAAACACAACTAAGAATTATTTGGTATGTTTCAGAAGCTACATTAATGAATAGGATTCCAATATTTTATTTAATAATTGCAATGTTCTTTATCATTTTGACCCAATTTTGTTTTATATCATATCCAGTTGTCCTTATGCAAAGTCATCTTTATCATAGTTTGGTAAATAAGATGAAAGTTTTAAAGGTTTTTAATTATGTCAGTGACATTGGAAGTACTGGTATTTTTAACACCAGTACTTGAATTCTAATTATCATCTCAAACTTGGCTTTGGAATATTTTCATTTAGATCTCTTTTACATTCTCTCTTTTAGGGCTGGGGACATGGCTCAAGTGGTAAAGTACCTGCCTAGCAAGTGCAAGGCCCTGAGTTCAAACCCTAGTACAGAAAGAAAAAAATCCCTACATTTTCTATTTCAAGTGAAGCTCTTGAAACTTTACTTTTATAAAGATATGTGCTAGAATTTACTATTTATCCAAAAAAGATGAAATTATTTAAGAAGTAGTTAATTAAGTTTCCTCAGGTAAAGTTCTCTGAAACCTAATAGTCATATTTTAAAAGTAAATAAAACCAGATTTCCCATTATCATTTCTTTTCTCAAATTCATAGAATGGCCATTTACTATATGCCTAATAGCTTTTAAATGATAACAAAAAGTCTACTATTAACTCTAGAAATACTGAAAAATAAAATGCATAGAATTCTCATAATTAATTCTTTCCTCAAATTCACACAATGTTCATGTTATTACATGCCCAATAGCTTTAAAATGATTATAAGAAGGTTCTTATTACTAATTTTAAGACTACTGAATTCACATCTACCATTAAAATTTGTTGGAAAACAGTATAATTTTTACAATATACCATTTCACCTATATAGGAAGAATGGTGAAAAAATTCTCACCTTTTGGTGTGTGATCTTACACATACAAAATAACTATGGAAACTGAAATTACAATATGGGTTGTGTTTTTAGATAGTGGTGTTTAGTGATCATTTGTAAAATGCTCAATTTTCCCAATTTACCAAACGTACATGAAAGAAACACTTACTGTAATGTTTTATATTAAAATGGAAAAGCACAGCTTTTTATGCAATTCTTTAATCCATGTGAGAGCAAAGCCAAATATCAAAAAGAAAAAAACAAATGGTCCCAAGAAGAAGCATATTAAGGGTAGAGTCTACTTTGCACTACCTCGGTGAATTCATGGACAGTTTGTGGATTCCAGACGTGAGTGGACTTAGATGAACTCAATGTCATACTCAGTCCAAGACTCTAGGAAGAACATCTGAGGTACAGCTGCCCTTTTTTTCTGTCTCTGATAAAATGTTTTCATCTGTTCTTACAGCCCAGCCTCAAAGTTTGTTTGCTCTAATCTCCCAGCACTTCTAGTACCCTGGTGACAACAGTGAAATCTCTAGACCCATCTATGCTGTTACAACTAATCTCTTAATGTCACTCCTGCCAGGCTGTGGCTTGCTATCACAGAGTAAGAGCAACTCTGCCTTTGGCAACCCAGACCTCAAGCTTATGACGGCTCTTTCTTGATAGTAAAACCTGAATCAGGTGTTACTCCATAACATTTTTTCCTTCCAGCTCACCCTCTCCCAGAGTTTGAAGATCATATTGTTTAATCCAACTACCTCTTTTTTTTTAAATTTCTATTCCATTCCTAATAAAGCCATTAAACAAAATTATAATTCTAATTATCAAGAGCCAGAAAAAAGAAATAACATTTATTTCACTCTGAAAACATGGTTTCAACACACCTAAGGTAAAATTTTCACACTAAGCAAGATTTCTGTCTGTTAAAAGTGGGTCAGGTAACAAAACTAAAGCGAAATACAAAAGTTAAGTTAATGGCTTAAGATTCTTCAAGATGTAATAGCCACATTCTAAAATCTGGACATTCACAGGCAAAAGTCCCAAACAGGGATGCTTTAAGAAAACCAGAAATGCTTTATAAAATCACCACAGCTGAGTTAAGATTTTGTCATACAAGAGAGATACGCCAGGGCTGGAAGATATTTCTTTGCACACCTCCCAGAGAGTTTTAGTCTTTCTAATAAACATTGCTAGTCAGATAACAGTGATAATCAAAACTAAGGAAAACATATACTGAGTTTGGGAATGTCCACATGAAAATAGCAATTGCTAGATGAATGCCACATGCATTCCTCTGAGTTTGTCTAAACCCTAAACCCTAAAGCATCAGATGGATGATCTGATTTTCTTTTGCTTTGTGTTGTTCACATCTAAGAATTCATCTCTCAAGAGCTCTTTGATTCTCTCTCTTTTGTTATTCTCTCTGTAACAGCTTTAAAACCAGCCCATCACAATAGCAATGTTGTAGTGGACACTTTGTCTCCCACTGGCTTTATCTGGAATTACTTGACCTAAGCAAAGTAATTTGTCTGCATCCCTACAGTACAGAGGCTGGCTACTTTCTTCCTTTTGGTGAATAATCTATTCTTATTCAATCAACTTTCAAGCTTCATATCAAAGCAGGAAGCCTCTTTCCCTACATTAGCTCTTCAGCTTACATTGTGAATAACTTCATGGGAAGACCAAACTTACCTGGCACAAATCCTCTCCTGGATCTGCTGCTACACACGGATGTTCCTTTGCCTTTGCAGTTGTATAGTATTTAATCTGTGTGGTGGCTTTAATGATTCCATCACAGTAGACATTGACAGTGACTGAGCCAGCAGGGAAATCTTATAAGACACAAATAGGAGTTAGCAGTTGAGTACATAAATGCACATATCGTATTATTATGTCTTTTAGAGAATACGAAGGAAGTTTTTAAGAATTCATAATACCTTTACTAACTTCTAGCATTTAAAAACATTTTTTTGCACTGTGTGTGCTGGTTCATGCTTATAATCCCAGCTACTTGGAAGGATGGATGGTGATTCGAGGCCCAAATGGGTTAAAATTTAGCAAGATGCCATCTCATCCAGATACAATGTATCCTAGACCATCAAAAATGTTTCAAAAAAATTTTAAAAAGTTGAAACCCTCAAAGCATGTTCTCTGAAAGATTTCTGTGCTTTGAAATAGTATTCTCTTGCCACAACAAAAGGCCATTAGACAAGAAAGAATTTACTATTGTCTAATTAAATACAACATTTCAGGATCAATTTTGTACCTGTAATCCCAGCAGTCTAGGGGGTGGAAATTGGGAGGATTGTGGTTTGAGGACAGCCTGGGCTAAAAGCTAGTGAGATCCCATCTCAACAAACAAGCTAGTCATGGCAGTGTATATGTAATCCTAGCTATACAGGAGTATAGGTAGGATCACATACAAGACAACCCCAGGCAAAAATGCAAGACCCTATCTGAAAATTAAGTACAGCAAATAGGGCTGGATATGTGGCACAAGTGATAGAGCACCTGCCTAGTAAGTAGGACGTTCTGAGTTCGTACTCCAGTACCACCCAAAAAATGTTTTTTATGTCCTTAGTATCTATAAACCACAAAATGGAATGTATAATTTCACATTTAATCTTTAAAAAACTTAAAAAGCAAAAATACATGTTAAAATAACAATAAAAGCAAAAAACTAAATAATTTCTCCCTACTGACATATGTAGTGATGTATAATCATCTTTACATATATTTTAGAATTTATGATAGTATAGCCATTCATTCAAAGTTGGGTATTAGTTTCAGTCTTAGAAGTAAAATTCTAATTGATTATATGCAATTTTCTCAAAATTGTATTTGGAAAGAGTAGAGGTGCTTGAAGTCATAGATTAGAATGAAAATCCAGGGGAAAATAAGGTATAGTGTCTGGAATCTTAAGAATGCCCTATATGTCCTCCATAGGATCATTCAAACCCTTTGTGTAAACAGATTGTTCAGTGATGGATAAACTGCTTTGTGAATTCTACTCTAGCATACCAGCAGAGTTAAAGTTATAAAAACATCTGGGGCTTCCAGGAAAGAATAGTAATATGTAATCATTTCAATAAGGTTATGTTTTAGTGCAAAAGTAACAAAATCTTTAAATTTATCTATAGGGTAAGCCTTAAAAGCTTTCACTCTGCAGCTAGATAAGGTGGCATACACCTGTAATGCCAGCTACTTGGGAGGCAGAGGTAGGAGGATTGTGGTCTCAGGTCAGTCCTCAGCCAAAAATTAAAAACAAAAACAAATGCAATACCCTACCTGAAACAAACTAAAGTGAAATTGGTGGGGTGTGGCTCAAGTGATCGCTTGCTTGCCCAGCAAATTCCAGATCCTGAGTTCAAACCCCAGTACCATGAGGTGGAGGAGAGGGGCAGCTTTCACTCTGTCATAGAGATACTTCTCAATTCTTCTAGAAAACTGTCACTAAACATCTGGGATTTAGAATAAGTCTTTAGTTATAAGACCATCAGTCTTGAATATTTAAAATTTCATAAGGCTTAAGCATTAATTTTACTTTAGCCCATGAAGAAGTTAATCAACCTCTTATAATTTTGTTCAGAGAAATTTAAAAGCAGCAAAAGCAATCTTAAGGTTAACTAGGTCAAGGACCTAAAATTCCTTCCTCCCATATTCTTAACTAGACATCTAACTTGTATTATAAAGAAGTTGTATGCAGAAAAGTAGACTTATCTTTCTAAAGAAGTATTCATTCAATACAGAAGATAAAGAAACCCTAACAAAATCTCAAAGGTGGAAAGCTTATGGCATGAGCCAAATGAGTGTACATATGGCAAATGGGTCTGAATCACTGGAGCCAAATAAAATTGATTGCATAAAGATGATTCTTAATGTAAATTTTTATTTTATTGTGGTATAGCATAAAATAATTTTGGTAGAAGATACTGATTTTTTAATTGAGAAAAAAGATTAGTTTTACCATGGGGAGTTAGCCTTTTGGAAAGAAAGTTAGGCAAAAAAACCACAAGAGACATATGGTTAAGATTTGCTCGGTAGTTCTTGATATAAAATACTCAAAACATTTTAATTTCCTTAGAATATAGCATGAAGGCTGCGGATATAGTTTAGAGTAGAGTACCTGCCTACCATGCACAAGACCCCAGTTCAATCCCCAGTACCTCCAAAAAAAGAAAAAAACTCTAATGTGAAAATGTTCTGACTTATTTCTGATATATTGAAGCTCTAGGTACCTTGAAACTATCAAAGGATTCACTAGTAGTGATTTTTTTAGTGTAACTGCCCAAGAAATGTCCTTTGAAGTATTATATTTGATGTTACATTTTCATATCTGTTGAGTGGCAGTTATTAAATCAAAACCTAATTACTATTCCCATCTTGATATGAGGGAGCACTCCTTATGGAATCACTGGTTGGGAAGCCCTCCTTAGTAAAATATTATTGAATTGACCTTCTCATGAATAGGGAGTGCCCTGAACAGCTTGAGTTTAATTTTACTTTAACATGGGTTCATATGATGACTATATCTTATAGCTTTTCAATAAAAATAGAAGCCAATTAATTTAAAGGGTCAAATAAAAAGAGTAAAAGTAAATTCTGCTGTTTGCCATCTAGACTGAGATAGGCAAGAACCATCTAACCCTGGAAGAACACACAAGTATGGGTCACATACAAGGTTCTAAGAACCACACATTGGGAGAAAACATGGAGCTATTCCCTACATACACAAATATGCACTTACACAGAAGCAATGATAAAGGAACCCAACTTGAATTTCAAATCTCAAATTTCAGGTCACTCAAAAGCCTTTGTTTTTTCAAAAAATTATTATTATAGGATTTTTATATCCAGGTGAACAATAATAATGAAAACTACGTTCTTTGTTTCTAATTTATGCTATTTGTGTAGTAAATTATAGCATACACAAGTGTTGTCAACTTTTTCTTCTCGTTTTAATTGGTCTGCCCTTTTTTTTTAAGATTATACATTTATTCACATGTGCATACATTGTTTGGGTCATTTCTCCCCGCTCCCTGCCCACCCTCTCCCCTGCTCCCCCGTCTGTCCCCTTCCCCCCATCCCCCTCACTTCCAGGCAGAACTTGTTCTGCCCTTATCTCTAATTTTGTTGAAGAGAAGACATAAGCATATAAGAAAGACAAAGCATTTTTGCTACTTGACATAAGCATAGCTATACAGAAATATTCCTAGCATTACTTTTGTGTACATGTGTTACAACCCAAGTTGATTCATCTCTAACTGGTCTTTACACTGGTTACTGATCTCCTTCTCATGTTAACCTCTGTCACTTTAAGGTTTCTGTGTTAGTTCCTCTGGAGTGGGGACATCAAACGCTTTCATGTTTTGGGTAATCTACCTATTCCTATATCTCCCATATGATCTCTCCCTTTGTCATGTGACCCAAGTCCAACCACATTGCTGTACTTGCCCTAGATCTAAAGTCTGCATATGAGAGAGAACATATGAATTTTGGTCTTCTGAGCCTGGTTAACCTCGCTCAGAATGATGTTCTCCAGTTCCATCCATTTACCTGCAAATGATAAGTTTTCATTCTTCTTCATGGCTGAGTAAAATTCCATTGTGTACAAGTATCACATTTTCTTGATCCTTTCATCAGTAGTGGGGCATCTTGGTTGTTTCCATTACTTGGCTATTGTGAAGAGCGCTGCAATAAACATGGGTGTGCAGGTGCCTCTGGAGTAACCTGTGTTGCATTCCTTTAGGTATATCCCCAAGAGTGGTATTGCTGGATCATATGGTAGGTCTATGTTTATGGTTTTAAGAAGCCTCCAAATTTTTTTCTAGAGTGGTTGCACCAGCTTGCATTCCCACTAGCAGTGTATGAGGGTTCCTTTTTCCCCACATCCTCACCAACACATGTTGTTGGTGGTGTTTTTGATGATGGCTATTCTAACAGGGGTGAGGTGCAATCTTAGTGTGGTTTTGATTTGCATTTCTTTTATGGCTAGAGATGGTGAGCATTTTTTAATGTGTTTTTTGGCCATTTGAATTTCTTCTTTTGAGAAACTTCTGTTTAGTTCAGTTACCCATTTCTTAATTGGTTCATTGATTTTGGGAGAGTTTAGTTTCTTAAGTTCCCCGTATATTCTGGTTATCAGTCCCTTGTTTGATGTATAGCTGGCAAATATTTTCTCCCACTGTCTGGGTTGTCTCTTCAGTTTAGAGACCATTTTTTCTGTTGTGCAGAAGCTTTTTAATTTTATGAAGTTCCATTTGTCCATCCTTTCTCTTAGTTGCTGGGCTGCTGGGGTTCTACTGAGGAAGTCTTTGCCTATACTTATTAGTTCCAGAGTGTTTCCTGGTCCTTCCTGTAGTAACTTCAGAGTTTCAGGTCTGATATTTAGGTCCTTGATCTATTTTGAGTTGATACTAGTACAAGGTGATAGACAAAGATCTAGTTTCAGTTTCTTGCAGATGGGTAGCCACTTTTCCCAGTAACATTTGTTGAAGAGGCTGTCTTTTCTCTATAGTATATTTTTGGCACCTTTGTCAAAAATGAGGTGGGTATAGTTGTGTGGATTCATATCCAGGTCCTCTATTCTGTTCCACTGGTCTTCATGTCTGTTTTTGTGCCAGTACCATGCTGTTTTTAATGCTATTGCTTTGTAATATAGTTTGAAGTCAGGTATTGTGATAACTCCAGCATTGCTCTTTTTGCTGAGTATTGGCTTGGCTATTCATGGTCTCTTGTGTTTCCAAATGAACTTTAGGGTAGATTTTTCAATCTCTGTGATGACTATCATTGGGACTTTGATAGGAATTGCATTAAACAATAGCTTTTGGTTGT